TGCAATCCTCCGCCTCAGCTGGGATTATAGGTATGTATCACTGCACCTGGCTTCTATGTAGATTTTTTTTTTTTAACTGAGAGAAAAATTAGAAAGATCTGGAGGAGTCTATTAAGGAATAGAGGAAGGGATAGAGGGTATAATATAAGAAACCTGATAATCCAAGTCCGTCTCTCAGATCCACTGTAGTATTTCCAGCAGCTGACCTCAGTTATACTTTTCTAGTATCATAGCCTTAACTAGTGTCACTATGACGAGAATGTCTTCAGGGCAAAAATAATCATACAGTAATCAAGCTGTAATCCCAGTTTGGTAGGGATGAGTTTAAGATCAAGAAATGTGAAGAGTGTTGAGAGTCAGGAACTAGAGTGAAGTAAAAAGATCTTTAGTTAAATGAAGTTCTAGTAGTATTTATGCATTCATTCACTCACTCAAAGGTTTATTGAGAACTGCTATATGCTGAGCCTGGTTCTGGGTGCTGGGGATGAATCAGTAAACAAAAGAGAGCCCTCCATGGTTCCTAGCCATGGAGCTTTTATTAAGATGGAACATTATATCAGTGGTCATGACTTCAGGGAGTCACTCTTTAGATATTTGAATTTTTTTTTTCCTTTTCTTTTGGACCTCAGATGCCCAGGAATTACTCATAAACCTCAGTTCACAGTGTATTGCTTCATAACACATTACTCCATATCTCAGTAGCTTAAAACAATAGGCATTTATTATCCCAAAGTTTCTTTGGGTCAGGAATCTGGGCATGGCTTAGTAGGTGTTTCTGATTCAGGGTCTTTCACAAAGCTTTAATCAAAATGCCAACCAGGGCTGTAGTCATCACAAGACAACTGAAGGTGAAGATTCAAGCTCACTCACATTATTGTCAGTTTTCATCTCCCTGTGGGCTTTTGGACTGAGGGTCTCAGTTCCTTGCTAATTGTTGGCCTGGAGCCTCCTGTAGTTTCTTGTCATGTGAGCCTCCGTACCGGGCAGCTCACTGTGTGATAGCTGGTTTCCCTTTGAGTGGGCCACCAAGAGACAGTGAGCAAGCTGGAAGTCACTGTCTATACTCAAAAGTGAAATTCTATCATTTTTGCATATTTGTTAAAGCACACATTTAAGAGGACATAATTTTAAAAGGGCATAGAAGGCTGGGGATGTGGCTCAAGCAGTAGCGCACTTGCCTGGCATGCGTGTGGCCTGGGTTCGATCCTCAGCACCACATACAAACAAAGATGTTGTGTCCGCTGAAAACTAAAAAATAAATATTAAAAAAAATCTCTCTCTAAAAAAAATAAAAATAAAAAGGGCATAGATACCACGAAGCAAGAGATTATAGAGTCATGTTGGAAGCCCATTACATCTAAGATGGATGAAAGGTTTTTGTTTGTTGTGTGTGTGTGTGTGTGTGTGTGTGTGTGTATTGTTTTGCCCTATTCTTCATGCAGTTTCTGCATTCAAATTTCCTTTACCAACCTCCATAGACAAATGTTTGTTTACACACACACACACACACACACATTTTTTCTTGCTTATGTATGTGTCCTTTAAAAATAAATGCTTATACAGTAAGCATTGTTTTTACATTAACAAAATGGTATTGAGGTTTAGGCATTGTTCTGTTTTTTTTTTAAACCCAACCCAACCCTATATTCTGATGATCTATCTATGTTACTATGTATAACTGTTGTTGCTTCCATCTGCTCTCTGATAATCCATAGTAGGTAGCCATAACATTTCCCTAGCAGGAAATCTATCTAGGCTGGCTCCAACTCCTTGATTTCTCAAACAGTTTAGTTATTAACAGTCTTTAGGGATCTGTGTGAATCTTTCTCTGGAATATTTACAAGAGTGAAATTGCTGGTTTTAAGGTTTATTAAATACATAAGTCTTCATCCAGGAGTAAAGAATGTATATTTGTAGACCATAAGAAATTTGGTCTTCTGTATCAGATTTAAACTTTATTGTATCACTTGATCTTAACCATAGGTGGGGTGGATAGGGGAGTGGTAGTCAAGAAGCACAGTTTAGGGCTAGGGATGTTGCTTAGTGGTAAAGCGCCGGTGCTCTGAGTTCAATCCCCAGTACTGCAAAAAATAAAAATAAAAAATGAAAAATAAAAATAAGCATCAGCATAGTTTTAGAAAACACCTCTAAATACACACACAATGGAATATTACTCAGCCATAAAGAAGAATGAAATCATGGCATTTGGCAGTGAATGGATGGAACTGGAGACTATCATGCTATGTGAAATAAGCCAGTTCCAAAAATCTAAAGGCCAAATTTCCTCTCTGATATGTAGATGCTGATTTACAGTAGGCAGAGAATGGGGAGGAGTGGAAGTTCATTGAATTGGAGGGAGGGGGGAGGAAGAGAAGGGGATAGGAATGGGAAAGACAGTAGAATAAATCAGACATAACTTTCTTATGTTTATATATGAATACACTACCATTGTAACTCCACATTGTATACAATTACAAGGATGAAAAGTTATATTCCATATATATATGATATATCAAAATACATTCATGCCTAACTAAAAAAAAAAAAAAAAAAGAACAACAAAAGAAGAAAGTGCCTCTGGCTAGAATAAATTAAGCTAGGTAGAATAGTCCCCACTTAGAAGTTATCTTCATTAATCTACAAGATACATATATTTGGACATCCTACTGATGTACAAAAGGAGTAAAAAATAATTTTGTTTCTTTTGTAGTTCTCTCCTCTAAGCTCTCTTCTGATCTTTCATGATCTTTTTTTCACCTTTTTAGTTTCCCAGGCTTGAAACTTCGTTCATTTTAAACAACTTATGCACACAGTGAGTTCCTAAATATCTCAGATTTGCTTTTTTTATTTTGATAGCTTCAATCATAATTCAAACTGTTGCCCTCTAAAAAGCACATAGATCCTTCTAACCTTGAACTTCTCTTTTCTGTGTAGTCAAAACATTAACAAAGCCAACTTTTGTAAGTGCCCACTCTAATGCTTTATAATATCTGTCCATATATCTATATTCTACTAAGTGCAAAGATTAGGCTAGGTTCTAATATGTAGAAAGTTTTCAGAAGGATGCATTTAGCCTTTATTAAAGATTGACTCTTTGCAAAATAGAAGTAGTTACTATCCCTTTTTTTTTTGTTTTTTTGTTATTTATCAGTTTTTTTGTGCTGGTGATTGAACCCAGGGGTACTTCACTACTGAGCTATCTCCCCAGCCCCTTTCCCCTGCATTTTTTGTTTTTGGTACCAGGGATGGGCGCTTAACCACTGAGCCACATCCCCAGTTTTTTTTTGTTTTATTTTGGGACAGGATCTCTCTAGGTTGCTTAGGACCTCACTAAGTTGCTGAGGCTGTGTGATCAAATTTGGAATTACAGGTGTTCATCACTGTGCCCAGCTTCCTTTTCTATTACTGTTTTTAAATTTGAGACAGGGTCTTACCAAGTTGCTTAAATCTCACTAAATTGCTGAGTGCAGCCTTGAACTTGTGATCCTCCTGCCTCAGTCTCCAGAGTAGCTAGGATTACAGGCATGTGTCACCATGCCTAGCTATTATCCCTGATTTGAAAACTGAGGCTTAGAAAAAAAAAGTAAAGGTCTAGACCAAGGTGGCAGAATTATAATTCTAACCAAAAAAAAAAAAAAAAAAAGTTTTTCTAACTTCAAAACTCATAGACTTTCTGTAACTTGATACTGCCTTCAAAACTGGATGTAACATTCAGCATTGGTTCTGCAGATGTTTATTTATTTATTTATTTGATACTGGGTATTGAATCCAGGAGCACTTTACCACCAAGCTACATCCTGATCCTTTTTATTTATTTATTTTTTGAGACAGGGTCTTGCTAAGTTGTGGAAGTTCTCACTAAGTTGCTGAGACTGGCATTAAACTTGCAATCTCTACGTCTCCAGATGTTTAATAAGATCATGTGTCATGCACTGAGGATATAGTCTCACACCTTTCATGTATATATCCTGCTTTCAAAGAATTTAGTTTACTCCCGTACTTCGGACCCAATGGCCTAGTCCTGGCCTTGTGGTTAAGAACAAAAAAGATGCACCTGGACTTTCCCCAGAGTCTTCTACATTTCTAAGCGTCGGTGGAATTTGAGGTTCTCTGGCTGCGAGCAGGGCTTGTTTGATGAAAGTAGAAATCAACCCTACCTTCCTCAGTGGACAATTTGTTACCTACTTTAAGTGTCTCCCACTAAAGGCATCCATCTTTCCTTGAGCCACAGAAACCTGTGCCCAAGCTTGTCTGACATCTGCCTTGTCAAGTGTCCGTGATGCTGGGCCCTGAGGGAGGTGAAGGTTTTGTGGTCACATTCCGTGGCCTGCCCTGGTCCTGCTCAATTGAGGACGTGCAGAAATTTCTCTCCGACTGCACGTTTCACGATGGGGTTGCAGGTGTCCATTTCATTTACTAGAGAAGGCAGGCAGAGTGGTGAGGCTTTTTTTGAACTTGAATCAGAAGATGATGTAAAAATGGCCCTGAAAAAAGACAGGGAAAGCATGGGACACCGGTACATCGAAGTGTTCAAGTCACACAGAACCCAGATGGATTGGGTGTTGAAGCACAGTTGTCCAAACAGGGCCTACACTGCCAGTGACGGTGGCTACGGGGACTCCCGTTTGGATGCACAAAGGAAGAAATTGTTAAGTTCTTCTCAGGGTTGGAAATTGTGCCAAACGGGATCACATTGCCTGTGGACCCCTGCCGCAGTCTGGCTGGGCACAAAATAACCAAGCTGCCACACAGCCTTGTAGGTTCAAACAGCACCCTTTATTCCCAAACTCTCACTGGCACTCTACACACACTTCCCGGGAACACACTGCCTCCACCGGGCTCCGTGCACCAATTCTCCCAGAACCCCGCAAGAACTCAATGGGAAGGAGCACCTGGCAGCAGGATCTGCCCTAATCCCAGAGCTGCCCTATCCCCCCCCCCTCAGGATCTATCCTAATCCCAGGGCAGGGTCACTTTTCAACCATTCCCTCTAGCAAAATGCCGGGTGTCATTCATTCATTCTGACTAAACCGCGGCTCTCAACAGACCCCGAGGGCAAGATTACAGGGGAGTCCTTTGTGCAGTTTGCCTCACAGGAATTAGCTGAAAAGGCTCTAGGGAAGCACAAGGAGAGAATAGGGCATAGGTATATTGAAGTGTTTAAGAGCAGTCAGGAGGAAGTTAGGTCATGCTCTGATCCGCCTCTGAAGTTCATATCTGTGCAGCTGCAGGGGCCCTGTGACTGGCCAGGCACAGCCCGGAGGTATAATTGGCATCGTGAAGCAGGCGGGCCTGGAGAGGATGAGGTCTGGTGCCTACAGTGCAGGCCTTGGGGGCTATGAGGAGTACAGCGGTCTGAGTGATGGCTGCCTGTTTGGGAGAGACCTCAGTTACTGTCTCTCAGGAATGTATGACCATAGATATGGAGATGGTGAATTCACAGTGCAGAGCACCACTGGCCACTGTGTCCACATGAGGGGGCTGCCCTACAAAGCAACAGAGAACGACATTTACAACTTCTTCTCTCCACTCAACCCTGTGAGAGTCCATATTGAGATTGGCCCTGATGGTAGAGTGACGGGCGAAGCAGATGTTGAGTTTGCCACCCATGAAGAAGCTGTGGCAGCTATGTCAAAAGACAGGGCCAACATGCAGCACAGATACATAGAACTCTTCCTGAATTCAACAACAGGGGCCAGCAATGGGGCTTATAGCAGCCAGGTGATGCAGAGCATGGGTGAGTCAGCTGCCCAGGCCACTTATAGTGGCCTGGAGAGACAGTCAGTGTGTGGCTGTTATGCGGCCGGCTATAGCGGTCAGAACAGCATGGGTGGATATGACTAGTTTTGTAGTAACATTTCAGTTATTTCAACCAAATTTTCACAGGCAGCCAACAAGCAGTGAAAAGCAGTTTATAACTAGAGAAAGCTGTGGGACCCATTTAACACCATGAGTTTGTGAAATCTGGATTAAAAAATTAATCAGTGTTTTCTCATGCAAACTTTTCTTCTGGCATGTGATATTGAGTAAACTAAAAACTATTTTCTTCCGCTTTTCTTGATTAACATTTTGGTAGTATACTTCAGAATGATGTTAAATGAGTTAAAGTAGTTTTAAGTATGTTAAAATGTGGATCTTTTACACAATACCACAGTGAACACATTGGGGAGTTTACTTTTTTGGAGAACTCAAAGGTGCTAGATCCCTAATTCAATGAGAAACATTTCTTATGTTTGTTTGTTCTATTTTTTTTCTTCTTCATTTAAAATTTTTAGGTTAAGATTAAGCTTTTTAAAGTTAGTTTTGAGGGGCTGGGGATGTGGCTCAAGCGGTAGCGTGCTCGCCTAGCATGCGTGCAGCCCGAGTTCGATCCTCAGCCGCACCACATACCAACAAAGATGTTGTGTTTGCCGAGAACCTAGAAAAAATAAATAAATGTTAAAATTC